CTCGTCTTAACTAAAGTAAGCTTTCACAGGGTAAGGCCATCTTCTTTTGAAATCATTTTTATAGATGACGTATCCACATGAGATGCTTCATGGATATTTATTCATGCTGATAACCAGGAAAGGCCACCAACACACCTTCATGAGTTTCTTTGGATTTAGCGAAGACTGTCTCTGCTACCTCATGATGCAGTAGATGTGGCATCCACTGCAGAAGGAAGAGATGACGTCGCACTTTGAAAAGCATGGCGATAGTGCTCCATGGCGAACAACCAGTGTTGTCTCGATTTTGTTATCAAATGACAGCTTCTGTATTAAGTACAGGCTATTTATTTTCCATACTTTTAAAATAGTATTAGTTGGACCTAGAAAATGCTGAATTGTTTCATATTCATAATGTTTTCCCACGACCAAATGATGCACCATAAGCAGTGGTAAAAAACGCCCAATGAGGCTAGCAGTGGAAGAACCAGGATGTTTGAGAACAGAAGTATCCACATAATCAGTCTCGCTGAAGACAGTGGTCATCTTAGGCACTGCAGGAGGTCGACCCTTTGGCACCCAAATTGCTCTGTCTCACGTGGGGGGAAAAAAGCAACTTTCAGTGAAAAAGAAGGTTCTCAGTTGGTCATTTGTCATCTCAAGGGGTGTATTTTATTGTAAATGTCAATGCGACAAAATTATGTGTCCTGGAATACATAATTATGTTCAAAATTGCATTTGAAGTCTATTATTAACAGTTAACAGCAAACATTCTTAAAATAGTTATTACTCTTGGCCTTAACACAAAGAGCGCTAATGGAGGTATTTTAGGGAGTTAAAACTTGCAAAGCATTGGCCTCGGAATAAAGCCACCACAGGCGTGTTTCTTCGTGGGTTGTTAATGTTATACCGATGAACACAAAGGACAGAGACCATGTGTGGTTTTCAACGGTGTTTGGTGTGGAGAAGAAGTTGGTGGCTGAGAAACATAAACGTGGTGTGAAATGAGGCCCAATTGCACTTTCCCTCCTGAAGTGTCATCGTGGTAACTTAAACTCAAGGCAAATTAATTCCCATCCCTCCTCTTTAGGCCTCCTTTCCCCACCATCGCCTCACAAAGAATGCCCCAAAACATGTATTAAGCTAACAAATTAGAAAATATGGCAATACATTAACGGCTATTTATTCTCCATACTTTTAAAATAGTATTAGTTGTCCAAAGTCAAGATCCTCCCTCACAAATGAGTTCCTTCCTTGTTTCCTCTTTGTGGTACTAGTGCTCTCAAAAATAGCCCTGCTAGACATTTGGAAGGCATCTTCCCTCTCCCTTAGCCCCACGCCTGGTTGCGTCAAGAACTTGGCTTCTCCAAGTGTGCATTGTGGATGAAGTATCATTTGGGAGCTTGTTAGAAATGCCTGACCTCAAACTGATGATGGGACCAGAATTTGCATTTTAATAAGACACCTTTTTTTCTCCTCTGGATTCCTGAAGCACATTGCAATTTAGAAGCTTAGAAGCTGCCTTTGCATTGTCACTCATCGCGTTCACCTTCTTTCCAGTTATACCACGATTAGCATGCGTTAGCGTGCACTTTTATCCACATGAGCTTTGGGGGAGCATCTACCATGTCATGTCATTTCGCCTGTCTTTTCACTCAAGGAAGTGTTGGACTGCTAACCGCAGTTCAAAGGTCAGCGGTTCAAACCCACCAGCAGCTCCAGAGGAGAAAGAAAGATAAAGCGGCCCACTCTGTGAAGATTTACTGTCTCCGAAACTCTATGGAGGATTGCTATAATTGAGAACTGTCTCAATGGTAGCGGATTTGGGGTTTGCTTAAGTCTTCTACCAAAGAACTCCGGTGGTGCCATGGTTAAGCGCTAAGCTTAAAAGGTCAGCAACTCAACCCCGCCTGCTACTCTGTGGGGAAGAGATGTTGCAGCCTTGGAAACCCAGGGGGACAGTTAGCTTCTGTCCCATTGGGTGGCTATGGGTCAGAACTGACTCCAGAGCACTGGGTTATTCCTCTCTCATACTTGGGTCGCCCTTCTTGAGGCTGTCAGATTTTCTGCCTCAGGAAGACCCTTTGTAATGTACTCCAAACCCTCTACTCTCCTACAAACAGGAAGGGCTTTTCCGTCCTCTATTCACAAAACCCTTTTAACTAGCATTGCAGGCTCTTTCAAATGTGGTGCTGTTGTGGCCTTTTTCTCCTTGAGCCTGTGTCTGATTTCTTCTCTCTCGTGTATATGCATATCCCTATGTGCAGGGTTTTCATAAAGCGTATGGAAACGAGATACGACTATTTTTTAATTGCACGGATCTCAAAATCACTTTACACCAAAGTAAACATTACAGGTCTGAATGGGACCTGGTGTAAGATGCTAAAAAGGTTGAAGGAGTCATTCGAAAAATAAATAAATAAATAGATAGGTAAACAATGCCCTATCAGAACAACATGTATTCTGTGAAAATTGAACCAAGAACAAACATCAAATTTTTGGAGACGCTCAGGTGGGAGAATAATGAAATCGCTCATTTTGCTTTATGAAAAATTTATGGGAATCAGCAGTTTCTAATAGCTAACTCATGTTAAAGGACTAGATGATGTTCAAGATAAAGCCCACATAGGCACACCATCCGCATCACTTGGCAAAAAAACAGATAAACCTTGTTCAGGCTCTAATTAAAGAGGACCAACAATAGCAAACAGATAAATAAATAAAAATAGCCAGCACCAGCAACATCTCAATTGGTTCAGCTTACACAAGTTTGAATGGAAAATTTAAATGGAAGCACACAAGCCTGTGTGATCATGAGGTGTTGAAGGGAATCAGGTAACAGGCATCAAAGAACAAAATATCATATCATTGTGAATGAGGGTGAGTGAAGAGTGGGGACCCAATGCAAATATTTTGAGAATGATGAGGTCAACGAATGTACAAATGTGCTTGACACAATTGATAAATGTATGGATTGTGAGAGCCTCCAAGAAAATGATTAAAACAAAATTGAGCAAATGTTCTGCTGGATGGATCCCCAAACGTTGAGCCCAGGTCAGCTTCAGACAAGAGTAGTTCTTAGGCCTTCTGATGGGATCAAGGTCCTAAAGTATTTCTTGGAAGAATTGAAACAAGAGATGAAGCATGGCTTTCCCTGTTCAATCCTGCAGACAAAACTTCCTGCCTCCAAGTGCATCACAACTAATAAATGAGCCTAGAGGACACGGTAGAACTGCTCCTGTGGGCTTCTGATACTGTGACTCTCTACAGGAGTAGGAAGCCTTGTTCTCTTTTCTCCCACACAGTAGCTGGCGGTTTTGAACTGCTTACCTTGTTGTGGTTAGCAGCCCAACGTGTAACCCATGACACCACTAGGGCTCCTCATGCCGCAGACAAAGCTGAATCAAAGCAAAGGTTCCTCATCTCAACCAGGACAATGTTCCTGCTCATTCCTCTCATCGAACAAGGGCCATTTTTCCAGAGTTGTCATCAGAAACCAGTAGACATCCAACTGACCATCCTGATTTGACCCCTTATGACTTCTTTTTTTAATGTCTAAATCTTAAAAATTAAAAAAGTAAAGGCGACCATTTGTCATCCGTTAATATTACTGTGCTTTTTCAAAAGACTGCATTGACATGGTTCAATTCCTATAACCCTCCGCTGTTCAGGAATGCACTAAATGGCTCACACCATCACTTGAAAAAGTATCTTGAACTCGATGGAGCTAGTGTTGAAAAATTAAGTTCATTTGTTCAAAATATTTTCATTTCTATTTACTTTGAACTTTTTGAAGTTCCCCGGGACTTTAGCTATGTACTTGACTCTTTATTTTGATTCAGGACATTTCTTCCTGATGGGACATGCTACCCTCAATTGTTGTTGGTTCCTGCCAGCTATTCAATCCCAAGTCATTGCAGCCCCATAGAAAAGAGTATAACTCCTCCCATAGGCTTTCCTAGCTTGCAGCCATATGATACACACCCTTGTGATCCACATGACCACTAACCAATAATTCCACAGGAAAAAGATGTGACCGTCTACTTCCATAAAGATTCCAGCCTTAGAAGCCCTGCGGGGCAATTCTACTCCATCCTGGAGCATGCTCATGAGTCATAAGTGACTCCATGGCCATGGCAGATACTTCTCCAGTTCCTGTTCTTGCCGAGCTGCTGATGTGTTGGAACTGCAAACCTTCTGGTTAGTGGCTGAGCGCCTAACCAAATCCTTCCTCTCGTTTGAGGACCACCTTCAGTGACGTTTCCCCTAATAAGTTGTTTGGGGATTCATTTATTCATTCAATAAATATATGTTGATCACATCCTATATTGGACTATATTGGAATAGGGATAGAGCAATGCATAAAACAGCCACCGTCTCTGACCTTGTGGAGCTTCTGTTGTATTGGAGAAAAACAGGAAATAAATAAGAAGTAACATGTATTGCACAGTATGCTAAGTACCGTGTTAAGGGTGATAAGTGCTACGGAGACAAAGGAGGATAAACAAGGTGGAAACAGCTGAGACTGAGCAGTAGTATCTTACCAAATACTTTTCCCTCCTTTTAATAGCCTGTATTTGCATGGACAATGGGACTATTTGTGTACTTCTCCTGTTTCCCCTGCTACATTCAAACTGTCTTAAGGATGAGAACTGAATCTTACTCATCCCTGTATCTCCTGCAGCTTCCCAAAGAGTGCTCAATAAATAATGTTTAAATATGAAATTGATCAAATTAAATGCACTATGTCTTTAAGAAAAGGGACAGACACACATAGCACTCAGTTAAAGAAGTCTCCTTGGAAAATATTCAATTTAAGAAAGACTTGTGTGGTGAGCAAGGAACAGCTAAGTAGGTCAAGTTGTGATATATCTATTCTTGAAATACTAAAACCCATTGTTTTATAAATTAAGATTTGATGTATGGATTGTTATAAGAGTGGTAAGAGCCCCCAATAAAATGATCTCTGAATAATTTTTAATTAAGATTAATGTGATATATCATTCTCTTTTTAAAAACAGTGTTTCAGAAGGGACGTGCAATAGACACCGGAGAGGTCGACATTGGCGCGCAGGTCATGCAAACAATTCCACCTGGCTTATTTTGGCGTTTCCAGATTATGATCCACCATCCAATATATCTGAAATTTAATATTTCTTTAGCCAAAGACTCGCTGTTGGGAATTTATGGCAGAAGGAACATCCCACCTACACACACTCAGGTATTTGATATGATAGATTCTTCTTGAACCCTTTTAGAGGTGGCAGGATGAACTGTTAATGATTTGTGATTTGCAAATTTATGTGGGAGGCAACAGTAATTATTGGAAAGCTGTGTAATGAAGAGATTTTTAGAATAATCATACTCAAGGTGCAGAAACAACATGGCTTTCAGAACTAAGGAATGCTCTTGAGCAGAGCAGACTGAGGAAAGAGAGCTTAATATTCTTGAAATGCCAACTGGAACCGGGCATCCATGGGCCTCCCCAGCCCCCTTGCCATTGTCTGGCATTGGTGGAGAATCAGTCCCAAGGCCAGGATTTGTCGTGCATGTACAAATTACCTGTAGAACATTTTCCTGGATACTCTTAGTATTAACTCAATTAAGTAAACTATTCTGTGGTTTACATAGTCCTTCTATATCCCAGAGCCACCTATGTCTCCCATTTCCTAGTATCCCTTCCAAGCTGCATAAAGCCATTTGAGACTCTGCTGCATCAAAGCAGTAGTGAGAGGAGGTAGGGCAGTCCCTGGTTTATGAACATTCAACTTTGCCTAATGTCTACTCCTTAGTTATGGACCCACTCCCATAGAGCCTATTGTATTAAATTTTTAAGGTGTATACAAATGGCTCATGATAACAAACAGTGCTATTTTGCAATAGGCATCAAAATATCACCACTGTATTATTATGCTAAAGATAATTTAGTATATCTGGGAATGTATCTTTAATGTTTTTTGTGCATAGAAAAGTACACGATACACCAAGACAAACATGAGACTAACTGACATTAGAAATGGACTGTACCTAACTATTTTGACTTACATACAAATTCAGCTAAAAGGCCGATTTAGGAATGGAACTCATTCTTAATCCAGAGACTGCTTGTATAATCATCTCATATTTGCTTGCTTTGTAGCAGATGTGGCTATACTCAAAAGCATTCTTCTGGATCAGAATAGGCACAGGGAATTAGAATGCTATTCAAATGTGCCTCCCACATAAAAAATCTTAAAGGAAACATATGCCAAGTTCTTGCCCACTGGCTAGAAAAAAAAGGGAATCCTTCGAATATCTAAATACATGATCATAAGGGTAGTAAATTAGGCTGACTTCTCTCAAGTTTCTCACTCTTCATTTGTTTTAAAAACTGCAGAAAGGGTTTTCATTTGTCGAGAAGGTCACTGTGACATTTCTGAAAAGAGTAGGTCTTTTCAAGTATCGTTTAGAAGATACGTAAACAAAGAGATTCTCTTACATAATACTGATACATAAGACTAAATCTTAAAATACAACAAAAAACATTTTTCCTGTTTTTCATTTATCTTTAAACAATGGTTTTTGACTACCACAAAGCTGAAGGGTTTGCAAAATCAGTAATGTTCTTTGGGCTTAAGTGTCCGTAAGCATGAATACCCTCCTTCTTTAATGGACGTGGAATAGGGCAGTTGAAGTTAGAAATGTTCGTCAGCCTAGCGATAAAAATCATGGCTCAGATTTGTGTTTGCGTTTGTCCCAGTTTGATTTTGTAAAACTCATGGACGGAAAACAACTGGGCAAGCAGGACACCAAGGGCTCCGACGACAGCCAGCACTCCCCGCGCAACCTGATCTTGACGTCACTGCAGGAGACAGGCTTCATAGAGTATATGGACCAAGGACCTTGGTATTTGGCATTTTACAATGATGGAAAAAAGATGGAACAAGTATTCGTATTAACTACAGCAATTGGTAAGCTGCCTGGGCTATTATTTTAAATTGACATTATAAAGACATGACCGGGAATGAGAGTGATCCTGGTACTATTTAAGCTTATTGATCATTCTGGTTTAACATTGCTCCTCAGGATAGGTCGCGATGAGAAAGGCTGCCGCTGTTGTCATTGATGTTGTTGAATTGACGATCAAGTTGTTGTTGTTGTTGTTGCTGTTGTTTTTAATGCTCCTTTAGGGCTGCTCTTTTCGGACCCTTCCCAGCCCTCTCTAGGCTCTCAACTGCAAGGAAGGCCAGGAAAGCATTCCTTCCCGGATGACGTAGATGAACACCTTCAGCTGTGAAAAAGGGAAGACGTGAGAGAACGCCTATGGATTTAAGTTCTGCTGAGAGCAAAGAAATACCTTTGTGCATCGAAAATAAAACACAAGCAGCACCACTGATTCTAGAACCACAGGAGCGCCAGATTCCAACAGTAATTGAGACAAGACTTAAAGATAACAAAATAAGTTATACGAAGACATGTCTTCCCTTTTTTTCCCTTTGGTTTGCCCATCATCAAAATGTCTATCTTTCAATGTGCTCAGGGTCTTTGGAAATACGTTCTTTTTTAACACAATGCCTACATACACTCTGATTCATCTGCACTTGAGTCTGTCAGGAATAGCTCACTCTTTGGGGGGTGAACATGTTCCTTTTTAGCCTTTATGCGAATAAAGCTGAGCTCTTTAGCTCTAAAATTCTAATTTTAGAGCTCTGATGGTCAACATCTCGTAGAGCCAGTATTTTACTGCGTGAGTTTTCCTAAAACACATGTCTTTTAAAAGAAAGGAAACTATTTTATCATTGTCAGTTTTCCATACAACTTTCACAACTTTATCCTTTAGTTAACCTGTTCGGCCATATGTTTCAGGAGATGTGTTGACTGTTAATAGATATACCATCTGCTCTTTATAACAATTGCGTTCTATTTTTACTTGGTGCTGAAGACCTTAAGTCAGTGGAAAATGGTACTCCAGCCAGAAGATTATGAAAAGCTTTCCTCTAAAAATCATCACAAAGGTCATAAAAATATGCATTTGTTTGTTAAATTTGCCAAAGGAAAAATATCTATATCTGTAGTCTTGTCACTGCTTTCCCAGTTACAGAACTCAGCAAGCTCTTTCATGGTATTTTTCTTCCAAGACCAAATTAGAATATGCAAATGAAATTAGTTCTAAGAACTTGAATTTGCGAAATTAGAAATCAGCGAAATTAGAAGATCTGAAATATTTGTGAAGATGTTATCACTTTCTGTTATTCCTACCCTTAATAAACTGAAGTTGAAACACTAACCAAGCCATTATCTGACAGCTATTGAGTCAATTCGGACTCACAACGTGACCCTATAGAACACTAGAACCATCCCATAACGTTTCTGATGCTGTCATCCTGCAGGAAATCAGACAGCTTCGTCTTTCTTCTGTGGAGCAGCTGACAGGGATTGAACCACCTGTCTTTTGGATAGCAGCCCAACGTTTAACCCATTGGACCACAGGGACTCCTTTAACCAAGCCATTAACTGTTCGAAAAAAACCCAATAGACTCAGAAACATGCCTAGCCCTTTCCTTCCTCCCCTCAAAAGAACCTTTGAGATGTAAATCCTGTTATCCAGAGATTATCAGTCTCATATGCAACAACAGAAGGGCTTTTTCCTGGCTCAAGTCAGTTTCTCTACTATTTTCCTGTCTTTCAAAGAATAGAAGCAACCAAACATTTCTCCTCCAAGTTCACTTATAAAGAACTCAAGTAAATTTCAAATAATGAAAAGATAGTTAAGTCATTGATTCTTTAAATTCTCCCCGTTATTGTTTTTAATCTTTATAGTTTATCTTAATCAGAGTAAGATGAGGCTCATGTGTTTCATTAAACCAAGTGAGGGGTGTGTGACTTTTAACTGTGCTAAGTGCTCCTCATCTATTTATTTCATGATAATGTTTGAATCGCTTGATTGAATTTAACTATACTTGGTCTGCTACTAATAAGCATCAAGGCAGTATTAACGGCTAACATTTATTGAGTTATTTATAGGACCTGACTTGTATTAATATATATGCAATTTTTCTAGTTAGGTAGGCAGAATTGTCAATATTCCCTAATCTAAGATAGCCTGCTCTGTTATGTGATCATGTAGACCATTTATGGCGAGCCCCTCTGCCACAGGCTCAGCACTGGATATTTTATATTCAGTCATCTGGTTTCATTTTCATCACGGTCTTGATACACAGGTATACCAATCCTTAAATTACAAATAAGGACTTGAAGCTTATAAAGGGGACGTCTTCTGGCAAGGTCTCAGAGCCAGCATGGAGATTTATCTGATTCCCGAATCCATGCCCTGTAGGCCCTAGCGATTTCATAAGCTGGTCCATTGCATTTGAGATGTGTCTGATTCCCGGATCCATGCCCTGTAGGCACTAGTCATTTCAAAAGTGTGTTCATTGAATTTGGCTTCTCCCAGGAGAAAAATATCTCCCAGGTTCAGAAACCCTTCATCTGTACAGATGCAGATACCAAGGAGCTTTTGACTCTAGCACAAGAGCGGGGGTTTACAGCAGAGAACTTTAAAAGCAGCCTCAACTCTAATGACCTGGAGTCTAGGACTCTGAAGTAACATTCAAAAGCTAGCAGGCAAAGCTGACCAGAGGCCAACATAAACAGCAAAGCACATTCTTTTTCCTCACTAGTTGTTTGTGTTCCCACTGTAGCCATCTTCCCCCCAGGAGTCCCCAGGCTGTCTCGGTGTTGCTTTGATACCCAGTGGAGGTGGCAGCTTCCCAAACTCTTATATTGGCTTCTTGTCTCATTTGCATTGGGGTCAGAAGCTCTGAGCAGCAGCCTAGGTCCAGGGACAGCTCTTGAATAAATCAATAAGATGTAGGAATTTTTATTTATTTTGATAGCAAACTTTATTAAACATTTGTCCAGAATAACTACATTCCCACAAGGCAGCTCCCTTAAAGTTGTCAATAGGATCAGGGATGAAATTAAATTCAAATACATTTACCTTTGAAAGCTTTCCCCATGGCTTCCTATTAACCATCAGAGCAGGAGAAACCCAAATGTAGACTTAAATATCGCTACGTGTTACTTGACACAAGCAAGCCTGGTACGTACAAAATAGAAAGAAGAAATCATTGTGCCACTTCTGAATGAAGAAAAAGAAATCGTGGTGCCTTTTGATGATGAGCTTTTATTTTTTTAAATGGTCTTCTAAAAAGAACCAATGTTCGAATGGGTTAGAAATAGTAACCTCTTTGCTAAATGTGGCATTTTTGCCAGCTCAGGTGTAGTTCAGTTCCATTTCCTAACTCCAGGATCAGAGAACAACCCATCGTGAACCTTTAAATGGCCATTTGCACATGTTCACACAAGGTTGAGAAGAACAATCTCTGCTACAGCCACTGAGTTCATTGTTTTCTAAGAATTCCCCAGATGGACTAGGTCCTACTTTCTTCTTGCTTTCCATTGGTTCCATTCCAGAACTCAGTCTAGATCAGAAGTGTTCTGAACTAGAGGCTTTCTATTTATGGCATTGGCTCTCACATTTCCAGGAGCACTTGCAGGGTCCCTTGTGATATCTGTTCAAATGTAGCTTGCGGAGGTCAGCCTTCCAGAGACAGATTTAGTAGATCTGGAGGGAAGCCCAGGCTTCCACGTATGAACAGCGTCCTGCTCATCCTGTTGATGCAGGTAGCCCCCAAGCCACAATTGAAGAGATGCTCCTTCTCAACGCTCATTACAAACTCTCGTTCCCTCATCGCTCAATGGTAGCTGCCAGGACCACTGCCTATAATAGCCTTCTAATTGGAAAGAGCTCATCCAAATGAAACTTGGTGAAGCAGATAATTTGGATTGAAAAAAGGGGAAACTTGGTACTTAAGGAAAGTGTGATTTTAATAGACCAGAGCATAGAAACTCAGAGTTCAAGAGGGCTAAAGTATGGAGCATTTATAGAACGGCATTATGAGAACATGATACCAAACTGCAAGAGTAAAATGTGTTTCTAGCTGCCCTTTCATCCACCGCAGACTCACTGTGACCTTGTTACTAAGAGAACAAAGCGGTCTCTGGTCCTAAGTCATCCCACCATGATGTGCTGTGGATAGGGCCATTGGGATCCATAGGGCTTTCATTGGCTGATGTTAGGAAATAGGCTGCGAAGACTCATCCCTGTCCATCTTCGTCTGGATGTTCCCTTGAAACCTGCTCAGTATCACAGTAACACAGGAGCCCCAATGACAGAGAGGTGGTGGCTACATGTGTGATGAGGGGCATTGGCCAGGCATCGACCCTGGGTCTCCCCTTTGTAAGTTGAGAATTCTAACACTGAACCACCACTGCCTCCAAACAAGACTCCATTCTCTATTCCATCAGATCCACAAACCATTTTAATGCCATTTGCATAGTCTGATATTGTTATAACTCTATCCCATGTCAGTCAAGATACTTACCACAAGATTTATTGAAGTTCTGTTACACTGCACATCTTTATGTCACCAGAACTACCTATGGGCATGTTCAAACCTTCTCAATTCCCCTGAAACCTATTCTTCTCTAAGAATGGTTTGAAAGGAAATTAGTGGCAGAGCATTTACAGTCAAGAAAGCATTTCTCAACAAAATACTTAGGTTCTAATGCTTTTAGTGGTGGTGAATTTAATATGAACACTTACTTTAAAAGCCTTCCATTGTCACTTATTAATGAAAATGAAATACTGATTATCATATTTAAGCTGTCAAGATAGTCGATTAAATATCCCAAGTTGCTGGCGAAGAAACTTTATTTGCTACAACCCAAATTTGAAAAATAAATAGTAGACTTAGTTTTCTGGGATGAATCTTTAAGCCTGTGTGCTTTTGAAAGATGTCCTATAATCCTAGTACATTTTTAGCTTTATTGGGCATGTCTCGTAAGAATACAATTCATCTAGACCCTTTCTGCACTGTAAGAGATGAGGTTGGTTTGTAGTTCCACTCTTGAATAGCCATTTCAGCAAAAGCAGGACACTTTTAATAATTTGAGTCTTTGGGTGACGTCTTTGGAATCTGATTTTAAGGCATAAATGCTCCAGAGACATGGTTGCCATAGTCTCTGAATTCCTGCAACTTTAAAAAAAAAAAAAAAAAAAGTTTCAACTCTACAGCTTGGAGGTTTGCTCATGCCCCCCCCCCCCCTTTTCTCTGTTGAATAGAAATCATGGATGACTGTTCAACCAATTGCAATGGAAATGGAGAATGTATCTCGGGCCATTGTCATTGTTTCCCAGGATTCCTTGGGCCTGACTGCGCAAGAGGTAATGTGGCTCTGTCATTCCAAGTGGCTTCAGGAAATGATGTCCTCTGGGGACTCACATAGTATTAGCATCAGCAATGGCAGCAAAAGCCCCTGCTGTCACCCCAAATTTTGGCCTTGTCCTAAACCCTTTGTTTGTCATCATTTAATATGAGGTAGTTCTCCTCGGAGGTGAACTTCCAAAAGGTCATGGAGAAAACATGCCATTATTCTAGGCCATTTGTCCATGAACTTTCCGGAGCCCTCTCATATTATCTCAGTTTTCTGGGCCAGGAAGCCCCTTCAGAGGGATTACATAACTCCCCCCACTAGGGTGGCTTGACATCTCATGTTTGCACCTAAATTGTCCGATTTGGCCACTGTGTAATACCTCTAGTTCCTTCATACATTGATTCGTAATGGGTTTATGTTCAAAGTGGGAGAAATTGGTAACTGTTTATACACATCAATGGAAACGAGAAGGGGCAGGTGTTCACCAAATGGGTAAGTCATCTAGGAAGTTGAGACTGAGGAACAGGCTCTTAAATTTTTCCAACTTTATTGTTCCCTAGTTTGATTCTAGACCAGCCCCTGGTTTGCTTCTTGAAGAGCTCTCCATAGATCACACTGTGTTTTCCCCAGAGTGTTACATTTTCAGGGGATTCTTCATGATGCCATGCTCCTAATGCTCCAATCTCAGGCTTCTTAGCCACTCCGTGTTTTGTTTAGAGACAATTACAATGAATTTTCCAGAATTCTCCAGGTTCCCAGTATGATGATTTATCTTGGAGGAAGGTGAGTGGCAGAAGGGAAGCAAGTGTCTAGTAAAAAAAAAAATAAGTCCAACAATAGAGAGTAAGTCTTCTAATGAGGGACTAAGCACTGTGCTGCGGGCAGCTTCGTCTATATAGCATAAATTTGTTTTCATATCCTATATTTAACAATAACGTTGTGTCATATCAATAATTACCAATGTGAATTGGTTTTGAAAAGTTCACACGTTGCTTCCTCAGAGTAATGTGCATCGGCTTGAGGAAGAGGTCCCCTCAGATGGAAAGCTCTTAGCTTCAGATCATCATTGTAGTAATGGCAATAAGTGTTTAAAAGTATAGCAGGATGACAAGCTAATATTTGAAGTTGTTTCCCCACTTCGAGGATATTTTTATCATTTATCTTTACCCCCCTCCCGTAAGAGGAGAATAGCTTTGTTTGTAATCACGGACACGTTCCTATTTAATAAAGGGTAAGCCTGGAATAGTACAATTTTTTTGGCCTGAAATGCTATACAAGAATCAATAGAGAATTGCTCTTTGGAGAGTTTGAAAGCATTATGAGAACATTACAAGTTCATTTGCCAACCTTCAGATTCATGCCCTGTGCTGTGTGGTGGGAATGGAGAATACGAGAAAGGACACTGTGTCTGCCGGAATGGCTGGAAGGGGCCCGAGTGCGACGTTCCTGAAGAGCAATGCATTGACCCAACGTGCTTTGGACATGGCACCTGCATCATGGGAGTCTGTATCTGTGTGCCAGGATACAAAGGAGAAATATGCGAAGAAGGTCAGCGCTCCATTTTAATCTATTGCTTCAGGCCTTTCTCTCACTCAATTATCCAAGATGTCATTCATCCCATGCTTCTAGTAGAAATGCAAGTGATCTTTGTAAACCATAAATGCTCAGCATCTCCTTAGCACTGCAGTGACTTGCAGTCGAATGGAGGAGGAAGAGGTGGGGGTACGTGGCTAAGGGAAGCTCAAGTCTCTTCTGACAGTCACTAACAGTATACATGCAGCTGCATCTATGATACTTGCTGCAGCAATGAAAACTAGCATTCTCTGCCTGCATTCCTAACACTGTTTTATAATGGGCAAAAATCCATATTGATTATTTTAGATGTTAATTCACATGCTTGCATTATTAGAGAGTGCATTACACTACATCTCCAAAGCACATAATATGAAATATAATACATGCACATTTGGAGCCGCTTTTTGAACGTTTTATTTGGGAGCGATTTGTAATGACCATTCTTATTATTGCTTTCTGTTAGTTATTTGGACATACCTCATGCTGAAACTTGACCCCTGTGTCTCAGGAAGCAGACTTATCACTAATTTGTTTCAAGACAATGCCTTGATATTAAATTTCACCCCAAAGGAGATTTTGCCCCCTGCCCCCACACCACAAAAAAATGAAACAAGAAAAAGGCCCATATTCTGAAATGTCAATAGTTTTATCATTTAAAGAGACACAATGGAAAATAAGTTTACTCATAAGTAGCCCTTTTTCAAGCCACATTTCTCAAACAAGACTGATTTCTGAAATAATATTAAACCATTACCATGGGAGCTACTCTCATCACAACTGTTGTTCTGGAAAGCGGCTGCTGAAAATGCACTATAATTGCTTTTTAAAGATGGTTCATCAAGGCTATTACACAGCATTCTAAAGGGTTTCATCTCATTCCACTCCATGAACAAGCAAGGCTTCAGCTTTCCTTCTCCCTTCAGCAGTAGGAGAATTTGGGTTGGGACCATTGGAGCTGTTCCAAGAAATGGCAGCCGGCCTTGACAAGACACGGGAGGTCCTGGGCTACTTGGGGAATAGGTTTTGTGGTGCTCCAACTGCAATCGCCACATTGAAGTGGTCCATTCAGGTGCTGTAACATGGACACAGGCACGGCGGCTAATGCAGCAGCTACAATCCACCATGGAAAGCACGTAACCTGATTAATTTAGAATCTTCTCATTTGGGTTTTGTGAGCAGTTGGAACCTAGAATGCTTACATTTGCCTTCTTGGGCTTCATGACAGAATTTTCTAGACAAACTGAGATCACAAGGAGGAAATGCACACCAAATACAATAGAAAGAGAACACAATCGAAAAAGCGATGGACCTATTGATGGCGCTTGTTTGAGTCTTTGGGTTGGAATGGAACTTTTTTGCCCAAGTTTAAAAATGGAGAAGGACCATATAAAAACACTCTTTCTTGAACAACCAGAAACGCTGGTAGCTGTGGACACATCTTCCCTCATGGCTGCAATCAACTGGAGCCAAGTAGCTGCAGTTCCTTTTAAACGGGACACTTTCCCTCAGGTTGCTTCTGACATATGCTATTTTCTTATGCCATTGCAGGCATGTATGGGAGCTGCCTGGCCACTTTAGACATTTTACTTTGTGAATTATTTTTTTTGTTCGGTTTTGGTTTGTTGAGTTTACCCCTTCATTGAAACCGGTTCCTTAATAAA